CTCCAGCCTGGGTGACAGAGCAAGACTCCATCTCCAANAAAAAAAAAAAAAAAAAAAAAACAGTTAACTTCTCTCTTTCTACAACCCTCTCTTCCTCCTCTCTTCACACTGTTATCAAAGCAACCACCTACCCAGCTGTGTGCTAAAACCTGCTGAAGTCATCCTCCACTCAGTCATTCCTTTCCCTAATACCACAAACTCTTCATTGTCATCATTAACAAAATTGGGTGGTATTATCAATATGCACATATCACATGTCAAGCAATGAGCTTTATATACTACTGGTCATTTCAATAAAGTTGCAAGGTATGTCTCACACTCATTTTACTGCTAAAGAAGCCAAGCCTAAGTAACTGTCCTCCATTTACACAACCATGGCAGCAGAGCCCTGGTACCCTGACTTAAATCCAGTATGTGTGACACCAAAGCACATCTCTTTCCACCTCAAATAGTGCCTCTCTACTTCAGCAGATGTGTCTCAATCCTAGCTCCTCCTCTGTCACCTCCACTGCCACAGCTTTGCTTCAAGGCCTTGCTAAGATTATCATAAGGGCTCGTATCTTTTCTCCACTCCAATCTAGCTTTTAAACTGCTATTGGAATGATCTTCCTAAAGAGAGAGAACCCCAGTCTGTTCATTTCTTCTTTCGAAAACCCATTAATGGTTCCCCATCAGCATGGAGCAAAACTCACACACATCCACTCACAATCAGGCCCCCAACCCACCATGGGACCTGGGCCAGATCAACTGACTTCACTGTTTTCAAAACAGGACCAGTTATAACTCTATGCTTTAGAATTTGCTGGGACTGTCTCTCATCATAGCCCACATCCCGAAAACCTTCTGACAAGTTCTCACTCACCCATTGTTCAATACCAAGTTCAACTGTCACCACCTCCGTAAACCCCTTCCAGAGTCATTCAGACAGAATTAATGGAGCCCTCCTCTGCATGCCCTATATCACTTTGTTCAGTTCACTCACAGAATTACCTGCTTAATGATTGTCTTAACCTTTAAGACTGAATTTCTAGATTACTTTGCACATTCATGTTTTTGTATCCAGCCTAAAAATACATATTACAAGGACTACTGGAATGAATTTTCCAAATTAAAGTAATTCTATACCTTAAAAGTTACAAATAAAGTGTGGCAATATGGCACTTTTTAAAAAATGTAATTGCTAAATTTGTTTCCAACTTGTATTTTTAGAAAATATTTGTACAGTTAGACTCTAAAGAATTGTTAACATTTAATCCACAATACTTCACTAAACTATAGACTCCGTGACAGTAAGGCCTGTTTGTGCCCTACAACACACAACAGACATTCAATGTTTGTTGAATAAATGAAAGCTCTTTGTTTAGCCTAAAACTAGCATCTTATTTGAACAGCTAGTAACTAAAATGATATCCTTTAAAAATAATAATAATAATAAAGAAAAAAAGCCAGGTGCAGTGGCTTACGCCTATAATCCTAGCACTTTGGGAGGCTGAGGTGGGTGGATCACCTGAGGTCAGGAGTTCAAGACCAGCCTAGCCATCATGGTGAAACCTCATCTTTTAAGAAAAAAAAAAAGAAAGAAAGAAAAATAAAGGTGGGGTAGGGGGGATCTACGTAAGTCACAAACTTTCTAGCCCAAAAAAAATAGGTTAGCATAGTTGAGTAGTCCCCTGTACACAGCACGTAAACCTTAAGGTATCATATACCAGCTCTAAAACTCCATAAGTCTAATAAGTATTATAGGAAGTCTCTGATAAATTATTAGTTTTTCCCTTATTATCTTTAAATCATCACACCTTTTCCTTAATAAATTCTACCTTGAGTGATTTTATTATCATTGAAATAATTGTGAAATACTCCTACTACCACTGAGGCATAACCAATTTAAAACTTAAATTTTAGGGCTAAATATACAAAAAATAATGGTGTGTAAAGAGAATATCATCTTAAACACAATAATCAAACAATTCCTTTTTTCCATTTAGAATCATAAAATCTTAGGGGAAGGAACGTAAAAGTTTTGTTTAACTTCCTATCCAACCAACAATCCATACAGAACCCTTGAGAGACACTGTTTGAATCTCTATATGAATACTCAACTCTTACATTCTAGTCACCTTTAAAAAGTAAATCTTATTGAATTTCTAGGCAGATGACTGAACATAATATGCTTAAGGCTTAAAACGGAGTATTTAGGTAGGAGCCAATGGAGAAAAATATCAGGTGTTTCTTTTCTATTTCTCAACCATTGGTAAAACAATGCTCAAAATCTCATGCAACTTCAAAGATCAAAAAGTACACCAAGATCACTTCCAAACTGGAGTCAATTAAATACAATCTTACCGATTCAGTGAACTTCTCTGACTTGTATAATGACAGAATCAATGTAAAACTGTAAGAGCTGTGTTTGACGCAGCGCTGTTATTCACTAGAAAAAAAATAATCTCATTCCCCACAGGCATAGGATAGGTCCAGACAGGTCATCTGCAACCTCTAGCAGGCAATTTTTTTTTTTACTTAATTCCCTAAACCAAGACTCATCTCTTAATATCCAAGGTTCTTCTCACCTCCATAATTCTCCCTATGGAACAAACATATCTTTAATGGGAACCATGATATTTCTGCCACGGATGGTACACGATATGGAATCACTTGTTTGAAGACAGAATTAGTAGGAGTGTCTTCAACAAAACAAAAAGTTTAAAAAGGAGGGTGACATGGAATTTATTCTCAAAAACAATTATTTTGTTTTCTCCAAATCAAAATCCTTTTATATATATTCTATCTTTATTAAATAAATGACACCATTTGTAATGATTTGAATACCATCTCAAAGGTCAGACTAATTTGAAGCCTTTTAGAACCTAAAATCTACAGGCAAAACACAATAATTTATGGTCACTCGTGGAAGGTCAACGTTGCTACTCACATAAGCTATTTCTAAGGACCCCAAATGGATCCTCATCATAAATTTAAGCATTAGAGTCCACTATAATGGCTACAAGTTTTCTGTGAAAGACATCATGTTTTATCTTTCCTTGCGTTTCAAGTATTATGACAAACGGACTTATCTCATTCCTAGCCTCCTTTCCTCCAAAACCAGCAAAACTGAAACACTAAAAATTTTAGTCTGGTCCATATTAGTCACTAAAAATCTTTCTTCCTGTAAACACTTCATAATAGGATAACAAGACGTAGTTTGCAAAGATTATCTGTACATCCTATATAAAAAATAAAAACGCGTGGCACACCAAACCCAGATCCACTTCGGTGAATTATTCCCTTCAGGGCCCAAATGTGTGCATTATGCAACAGCCAGCATTCCCGATTGTAATCCCTGTCTGTGATGCAATGAAAAAATACAAATGGCTCCGGTATAATCTGCTCAGGTCCTAAGTAGTAATTCTCAAGGCGCCAACAAATTAAAACAAGGATTCCCAAATTCTCAGGAACTTTGAAAATGACAAATTGTGTCACAGTTCTGTGAGAATCACAATGAAAACTTTCTCTTCTGGTAATTTTTTAGAAATATGTTCCTCCGGTCCCAACCTCCCCCAAAATCCTGACACTCGTTTTAATTTACGTTGGGAATGGCTCTCCCACAGGGGGAAGGTGACCTGCATCAGGTGGTTATCTTCGAATCCACGGAATACGATACCCACGCCGGTTCCCATACACTGAAAAGCCAGTGAGATGCTTCAACCTTTCTCCCCAAGGACAGTCATGGGAGTCAGTGTAATCCAGACCCCCGAGCCATAAACCACGCAGGGCTCAAGGCTTCACCTCCTGAGGCCCAGGTCTCTTGAAAAACGGCATAATGGAGAGCTGAGAGCAGAATTAGGACAAAACTGCAACGACCTGCATTCTAGAGCAGAGAGAATCATACGATATCTATTCCAAAAGTAGTTACAGGTAAAGGAAGACGGTCAGAGCATCTCTGGAGGCCACCTGCTCGGGTGAGCCGAGTCTAAACGGTGAAGTTCCACACCTCCCCGGGTCCGGGTCTCCCCAAGCCAAAGCAATCGGCGCGCACGCCAAGGATCCAGGTGGAGAGAGGGCGAGGGGAGGGGGCGGCAAGCCGCAGCTTGGAACCGGCCTGCGGCGGAGGCGAGCGGAAAAGACCCAAGACCGGCATTCCCAAACACAAAATGGTGGCGCCGAGGCGGAGGCAGGCGCACCTGGGGGCGCCACACGCCCCGGCGGGCCCTCGCAGATCGCCGCCAGCTGGACGCGCGCCCTGGGCCCTAGCGGCCCGCACTGGTCTGCGCCAGGCCCAGCCCGCATGGGCCGCCCACAGCCGGCGGACCGCGTCGCAGCTCGGTGTCCGCGGGGCCAGTGCCGGCGGGGACGCAGGGCCCGGCGCGGCCGCCTCGGCCTCACCCCGCGGTCCGCGCCCGGGATGGGGAGCGCACTCACCTCAGACGCGCCCCGGGTGCCGCTGGAAGAGCCCGGGAAAGGAGGCGGAGCCGCGCGAATGAATGGAGCCGGCGGCTGCTCGCTAGCCACCTCCGGCCAGCCCCGGGCCGCACCGCTCGCAGCTGCCAAGGCGGGTGCGGCCACCTCCCGCTCTCCCCGAACGCCCGGCTCCTCGTCGCGGGTCGGCCGCGGCCCACCGTGCCCTCCGCCGACGTGACGCACTAGCGCCGCAGCGCCTCCAGCCTTCGCTTCCGCGCAGCGCCCGCGCCCACCGCGAATCCCCCCGCCCGCCTGTGCTGCGCGGCCCCTCCTCGGCGCCGGGGACGCCGCCCTGCCTCCCTCCAGCCTCGGCTGTCAGACGCCGGCCCTGCAGGTGCGGGCTACGCCAGCCCTGGGGCGCCACACGGCCCCTCGCCTCGCCACCCGCGCCCCCTCTCTCTCCGCCCCGGCCGCCGTCACCCGGCAGCGCCCAGCTTAGGGCGATGGTCTGGTATTAAAGAGTGACCTTGGCTTAGATATAAAAATAGATGCGGTTAAGCCGCGGGGGCTACGACGCTGAATTTGTGTGTTCCTTTAATGCCGACCTTCGCAGGATCCCGTTCGCACAGCCTGGCGGAGTTCTCCAGCCTGGGGCAGGCACTCCTGAAATTTACCCATGGTGGGCGCGGCCATCCTGGCCTCCGGACAGGGGTGCAGAGGGCGCGGGCGAGGACCACGGGCCTCAGCCCTGCCACCTCCATCCTAAACCTACTGCCACTTAGGAGCATGCCAGGAAGACTCGTGGGCTTCTTTCACAGTCTGGAGAAGCCCTAGAGCCCGGACTTTCATCTTGAGAAGTCAGGGAGAGACCAAATTCCTGCGTTGACCTTTTCTCTTTCACTGTCTAACCGGTACCGACTAACTCTGACCTAGAAAGACAACAGGGTTCCATCGGGCTTTCCTCTCCTCCCTTTCCAAGCTCAATTCAACCGTCTTGTGGCCTCTGGCGCCTTTGCTAATAGCACACTCCTACCGTAAAAATTAGCCCTCCAGTATTTAAAACATGATAAATTGTCTTTAAAGTATGCATATTGTAGCCTAAATATACTTAATAAATGTATTGAAAAACAATATTGTATGTAAATATTGTCAAGAATTTCTTTTACTCATCCCAGAATCATAGCATTATTTTCAGCTCATCCAGATAAGTTTGAAATTGCTTCTTTTATTCCTGGGAAATATTTAACAATCACAATACCAACTTTCACGAGTTTACTAATGATTAGCAAGATTAAAAAATATTTCAAAGAATACTTGTTGATATAGATATATTTGACCGTGATTTTTTTTTTACATTTCTGCCATATAAGAATCTATTGTGGCCGGGCGCGTGGCTCACGCCTGTAATCCCAGCACTTTGGGAGGCCGAGGCGGGTGGATCACGAGGTCAAGAGATCGAGACCATCCTGGTCAACATGGTGAAACCCCGTCTCTACTGAAAATACAAAAATTCAGCTGGGCATGGTGGCGCGTGCCTGTAATCCCAGCTACTCAGGAGGCTGAGGCAGGAGAATTGCCTGAACCCAGGAGGCGGAGGTTGCGGTGAGCCGAGA